TTCTCTGATTCTATAATTTCACTTTCCAAATTTGCTCAGAGCAATTCCACTTGCATTCCTATTAATGGTGAGTACAAGAGTCCCTAGCTAATGGGTGAACTGTGTTTCTGCTTACATTTCTTTTGTTAAGCTTAATCACTAACTTAAGACCTTGTGCCTTGATTGCAGGTTTTCTGCTCTGATATAAGCTTGACCACATCTTTGAAAAAACAGAATATGTTTTTAATTATGGTTACTCATGGCCGTAATTCAAGCAAAAGTTTTCCTGAAATAAATAATTGGCCTTGGCAAGAGAGCCATATCTTATGAATATGCGATTTAAATGTTGGTCTTTACAAATAACATATTTCTATACATTTACACTGTTGGCTAGGAGTTATCCAGAGCAAAAAGCGGTACAACGCTGGTTCCTCAGAACTTTGCTTCCTAAAAGAAGAACTTACTCTGCTGATTGAAATAGATATTCCACTCTTCCTCCTGCATTTTCCTCTGCAGAATTTCTGATCAGAATCCTACAGTTCACATAGTGTTGTTTGACTTCCTGGGGCAGAGCTAGTGCAGGGTGTTAAAATCTACAGTCACACCAAGGCATTTCTTCAACACTCCACAGTATTTTAAGAATAACCTTTTCTGTTACATTCTGTTCCATTTCCTTTGCCTTTGTCTTTGTTATTTCTCTAACAGGCAGGTAGTTAGCAACTGCTCCTTTGAAAACAAACATCTGCCTTTAAATTGCTTGGTTGATAACAGACTTTATGATGTTGTGGTCAGTTTGCTCCTGGGCACATTGTTAAGGTATAAGTGCCACATATAGAGCAGTCATAAGAAATTTGATGTATGGTTATGGTAATTAACAAGACAGAGAGCTATCTCTCTAATACAGGATCTTATTGAAAAAGTTCCTGTTCTGGGAGAGATAGCAAATATAAGAAAAAGTCAGGTTAGATTTCATCCAGAAACTTTTTACTTATGAACCTCAGTAACCCTTTCTGTTCAAGGAAATAAAGACCATTAGTTTCTTGGTATATTAAGTGCTGGAATTATTCTTTAAGGATCTTTGTTGCAATCAACACTGTAGTAATAGTGTGTACTTGCCAAAGTTCAATAAAAATGTGGAGGTAGCAATGCTGAAAACAATGAATTCTATCATTTGTCAAAAAAGATTACTTTATAGACTTCATTCTATGCAATTTTCCAACAAATATTTAATATTTTCTAAAGGTGTGGGCATGCCACGTAGGTAGAACTGAGATAAAATATGGCTTTTAAAATATGATACTATCATAAATGATAATACTTGTCAATATGGAGATGATTTGGGTGCTAAAGTGATATTAGGTCACATATAGAGACATTTCTGTTCATCACAAAGTGGGGGTGGGGCAGTGTATCAGCTTGCTATGGTTAGTACATAGAACATAAGAACTCTGCAAAACATCCTATAATGAACAACACAGCGGACAACAAGGGTTATCTGGCCCAAAATGTCAATCGTATCAAAACTGAGAAACTCTAAAGAAATAAAAGAAACCTACTCTGGGTTCCTCATACCAGTCTCTTTTATCTATGATATTACATTGCATTTAGATCTATATATGCCATTTATCGCTACAGCCAAGACTGAGAAAAAAAGAGGACTACCTGAATTGGTATGTCTCAGATGCATTCTGACAGTCAAACTTGTCAAGAAATTTGAATAAGCCAAGCCATGTGAGTAAATCAGCCTAGAAGACAGATAAACCTGGGCTCCAATGACTCAGATCCTTGCTTTCAGTTTGGCTTTGAACCTTTTTTGTGCATGTGGCCTTTGCAAACTACCCTGGGAGAGTTCACACAGATACATGCCTAGTAGAAAAGTGAAGTAGTATCATATCTACAGAGAAGATGAGCTAACCAACCCCAAATCTGACAAATAACCCAGGCAAAGCTTAGGCCTCTGCCTAAGCTAATTTATCACACTAAGAGAGCTTCCACTAAGTTTGGTATGAAATTCATAGATGACAGTGCTTTGAACTTTTATTGATAGATCGTACTGTTTGGGAGTTGTTGATCTGAAGAGGTTAGAGAGTGGTGCAGAAAGTAGTTTAATACAGGCTCAGATGGAGAAATTTTTATCTTAACCACAATTCAATGAGAAAGCACCAGAATTAAGAAGCATATATGATTCCTGTATGTTAAGACATTCACGCTATATGTAGGAGCTTTGAAGATAACAGCTCACAGGAACAAGGCTTTCCTTCTCCCTGAGCATTCTGTGCTTAGAGCATAACCTTTGCTATACTGTAGTTTGACCAGAAAAGTGAGAACCCCCCAAAGTCTTGTCCAAAGTTAGCATATCCTAATTACCCCTTACACCCAAGTAGGAATTCATATAATCATGAAATACATCTTTCCAGCATGGGAAGCTGTAAATTAGTTTTCTGGTTCACAGTAAAACTCTCTATAAATAGGAAAAAGGCAGAAGGGTCTCAGAAGCAAGACTTTTAAAACCACCCTCCAGGGCAGTCTGTAGAAACACTTCTCCAGTGTTTAAATAGGATAGAGGGGGATAGTCTACATTCACAATTGCCCTGCTCCAGACAATCCCTTAAAATGATACTTTTCTTCAATGTCTTCCTTCCATATAAAATCTTTTTTTAATTTTTAAAAATTTATTTATTCATTTTTATTTTATGTGTATGCATGTATTGCCTGCATGTAGGTAAGTGCACCCATGTTGTGTAATGCCCTTGGAGGACAGAAGAGGCTATCGGATTTCCTGTAACTGGAGTTGCGGACAGTTGTTAGCTGCCATGTGGATGCTGGGGTTCGAACCCAGTCTTCTGCAAGAAATGCATGTATTGCCTGCATGTAGGTAAGTGCACCCATGTCGTGCAATGCCCAGGGAGGTCAGAAGAGGCTGTTGGATCCCCTGGGACTGGAGTTATGGACAGTTGTTAGCTGCCATGTGGGTGCTGGGATTCGAACCCGGGTCTTCTGCAAGAACAACTGGTGTTCTTAACTGATGAGCCATCTCTCCAGCCCTCACATAAAATCTTAATTCTCCAAGATACCAGACTACTTCCTGCTAGGGGATCAAGGGACAACAGTAAAGCATTGCTTGCTTGGTGACCCAGAACTTTGCTGGATTAGCCTGAAGGAAAGTTACTAGTTCTCCCACCACACAACCAATTCCAGATTTAGAGGAATAGCAATCAAAACGCTCAGCTATTTAGGCAGAGAGGACTGTTTTGGCTTTTTCTGAAGCTAGATTCATACTCCCAGTGTGTGCTGAAGGCTACAGCAGGAAGTACAGGAGAGCTTTCTTAAAGCTTGGGTTGTTCTGAGAATGTGCAGAGGGAAACAGAAAGGTTTGGGGTTCCAGCTTGGCATCTAGCATTCCATTTTCCAGAAAGAGCTAGTACAGGAGACAAAGCCGAGATTTAGGGAGGAGAGACATGAGATGCTGCCAGCTAAGGGACCAAACAATCTGCAGGTTTCATGCAGAAGCTTCAGGCTTATGGTGGGGGGTGGAGCCTTTCAGTTGACTACAGGAGGAATCCAGACAGTTGCTTTTAGCTAGCTGCAAAACCAGGTAAGAGGTGCAAGGGGTGTGTGGAGGATGGATGGAGAGGCTTGTCAAGTGACCTGAAGGCACAAAAATCAAGGAGTCTCCCAAGTGTCCAGGTAATGGTAACACCACCTCACTGCCTTCCCCAAACACCAGGATCAAAACTAAGCAACTTAGTCCCTCATCTTACAATAAGATTCTAACCACTCGCTTTGATCCAGCCTGGATCTTGGGAGACTAATCCTTAAGGTGAAAGGAGCATCAACTGAGAATTCGGTTGCTTCTGCCTGTACCAGGTTAAACTGGACCTGGCATGAACAGAAGCCAGCTCATAAAGATGCAGGGTCCCTGACAGACACAGAGCCCCCTGTTCCGCTGTCCGGCTGGCCACATGCCACTCTAGCCAGATAAACTCCCCTATCTCCAGAATGACCAGTGGCGGCCGGCATAGCCCCGGTGCCATCAGCCGGAGCTGAGATGGGCGAATATGGGTCATTGCCCCAAATCAAGGGAACACTTAGGCAAAAGGGTAAAGGAAGATTCTGCAACCCAGACGCCCAGAGGAGCTCCTGTCCCCGCTCCCCTCACCCTCGTGCAGTCTCCCCTCGCCCCTCAGGACTCTGCCACCACCCAGGGGAGGAGAAGCCGGGGGAAGCAAACGAAGGAAACAGAAAATTCCGTACCGAGGGGGGAGAGATGAGACGGTGGGACGGGGCAGCGGGGGCTGACTTGGGGCTGCGGCTGCGGCTTGCGGCTTCTTTCCACCCCTGGCCGCCGAGATACGGAGCAGGCAGGAAGCTACTGCCCCTGCAGGCTGCCCCGTCCTCCCGCTTGCCCTCCCCCTCGCCCCCGCCTGCCTTCCCCGCCCAGCCCGCCTGCGGAGAGAGGCTTCTCTGGGGCTGGGGGAGGTGAGAGGTGCTTTTGCCAACCACTGCTTCTCTCTCTCTCTCTTCTCTCTCTCTCTCTCTCTCTCTCTCTCTCTCATCACGACGGGTTCTCAGCAGCTCTCAGTCAAAGGTAGAGATAAAGAAGAGGAGCAGAGGAAAACCTGAAGCAGATAGAAGGGAAAAGAAGAGCTTGGGGTTGGACATTTCGGGATCTAGGGGTGGGGAGGAGAAAGGGAGCGCGCCTCCTTGATTTTTCCCCTCCCCACCCCTCTTTGCTTTTCTCTCCCCTTGGCTGTTATAGCATTTTCCAGAAGCAGCAGCAGAAGGGGAGAAGAAACCTTGAGTCTGGAAAAGCGATCTGGAGAGGTGTCCAGGGTTCCTTTCAGCCTCTACCTAGCTGGAGGGTGCGTGTAAGAGTCTCTCTCTCTCTCTCTCTCTCTCTCTCTCTCTCTCTCTCTCTCTCACCTTCTCGGCTATCCTGGATTTACAGGCGCGGGCTTCCTCCGGCTATCCTGGATTTCCAGGTGCTGGCTTCTTCCCTTGCTCTTATTGTTTGTGGCTCGCTGCGTGGCGGGAGTGCCTGCGTTTGAGGGGCTCAGGTTGGGTCAGAGAGCCGGGAGACTCGAGAATAGAGCAGGAACACTAGCAGAAAGAAGAGTTTCAGGTGCTGGCCAAGAGAAAAGGTGAGGAGGTCTGGCCAGTCACAGACAAGTTTGACAATAACTGCAGAGCAAAGAGGGAAGCCCAGATAGGAGTCAGTCCTTGCGCCCCTCTCAGCACCCAGACCTGGTCCTCTGTGCTCAACCACCAAGTACTCGGCAGTCTCCAGGCCTGGGACTGTCCCAGGCGGCTGCTCTTTGCGCGCCGTGGAGAAGCCAAGCGAGTCCAATTAGGTTGCCTGCCGCACCACGCGCCCTGATCCGGGGACTCCAGACAACACAAATCTGAAGAAACCACTCGGCTGGGTAAGTTGACAAGCCGCAAGCTGTGCTGTCCGATTTGGGGCTGAGAGGCAGCAAAATGTGGGTTGACTGAGCTGCTGTAGGCTGGGAAGTCGCTGGTTGGATGGATGGCTGTGGACTGGGATGGTGGGGCACAGATGGAGGCCAGCAACAGATTGTTTCAGGACACCTGGGAGAAAGATGCAATGGAAGACAGCTTTAGTGGATTTAGGACAAGATACTGTTAGCAACTGTCAAATGCATTCTTGTCCCTAGTGATGTTCTGAGCCAGAGCCGAAACAGTGTTTTACAGTGATTCCCTTGGGCACATATTAAGCAGAGAACCTGCTCCCAGGTCTCTTCAAAATGGGCCAGGGTTGGGTGTGGGAATAAAGATCATCTTTCAACAGCAGCCTTCTTCAACTGCAGATAGCCAGGAGTCTGATCCATGAGGGTTCAGGGACTAAAACCCCCATTGACCTTTCTGGTTTTGTAGCCTTCAAACTTAAGAGCTGGCCAGATCCATTTGCTTGGTTTCTTTAAAGGAGCCCAGAAATGCAAATTGGGGGCATCAGTCAAAAGCAGACACTTCCCAGCACCATATGCAGTGACTGAGGCAAACAGTCATGGTCATCGCCCAAATATGCATGTTCTGAGCCGAATTCACAGATCCTGATCTTTCTGCTTATTCTCTGAGAAAGACACTGGGAGCAAGGCTTTTTCCCATTGCCAACGATTGTTTGGGCTACAGTCATGCACCTGGTGATAGCCAAGTGTTTAGCAATGTTATCACTCCCATATGAAAAGCCTGGAGCCAGGAAACCAGCCAGGAAGACAGAATCCCTGAACTTTACCGGAGTTTATTGTATGAGTAGGAAGGAGAGACACAGACAAATCAATAATGCTCTGCTTAGTGTGTTTTCCCTGGCTTCAGATAAGGAATAATTATTACATTCACATGGCACCCAGACCCACTTGTCTATTGCTATATAGTTATCTTTGTGGTGTTTAGCTGGAATGGCATGTTTATATATCAGCATTTGCAATTGCCTATTGTTTATTTCTGAGATTTTTGGGTGTTCTGCAGATGTTCTCTGTCATTTCTCATTTCCCATAAACTCCTAAAAAGCTAAGATTTAAATGATGTCACATATTGCCTTTCACCTAGCCTTGACAATTTACTAAATGACAAGGCATGATGATAATACGTTCACATAGCATCAAGTTCGTTTTAAAGTGAGTGTTTAGTCTGGGATAAAGGAGATAATAAAGTCTGCAAGGTTGAAGGAAAAACTGAATGCCACTTGAAGTTTATGTTTTAGTTCCAGGGAAGTACTGTTTTTATAATATACCTATGCATATATATTCATAAACTATGTATTTGGGTTTCTACATTTGTGTATAGTTACAATGATTTGGTTTCTTTGTGTGGGTACATAGTTTCTTGGGGACTCCAATCAACCCCATACAGTCTGGGCCTGTGCTTCCAAAGCACAGGGGGGTGGGGGGTTGTACTTGTACTTTCAAGAACGTCTGGGATCTTACATTGAACTTTCTATTTATTAGTATGTTATTGAAGTATAATGAGTTTTCTCCTTTCAATTCAGCAAAGGAGAGAAACAGATTCTGCACAAAGTAGAACTGTTTATGTTGTATCAGGCATTTTGTTCTAATGTTTACTGCCTAGAGACAGATCAGGATGAGAATTATTTATGTACAACCTGAAAAGATGTCTATTCTGTTACTTTCCCCCTCATTATGTTACTTTTTAAAGACAATCACAAGCAACTATTTTCCTAGATAGGTTAAAATAGCAAGGACAGGATTGCAGATGGGTAGAAAAGAACCAAAAGCTCCCTGATCTAGGAAGTGTTCAAAGTATCAACAGGGATGAAGATGTGGGTGTTGGCTCTGTTCCAGAGTATATTAGTAGTATCTGTCTGCTGAAATGGTTTGATATATGATTTCTCAGGTGACAAGGAGATAGGCTGCTGAAAAGATTCACAACCAATATAGATTCAGCTTCACTGATACAGATTCATCTAGCTTTAGCTTACGCTTTAACAACAGAGATGGAGCAGGTAATAGCTGCCATCCTTTCCAGCTACAAGTGTTTTAATTCTGATCCTATTTGTTCTAGAGCTAATAACTAAAACAAGAATGGCACACAAAACCACAGTGCTTACAAAAGGCAGGACCAGGAAATTAGAGGTGTGGAAGATAGAAAGAGGAGAGAAGTGGGGGAATCAAAGATATTTTGAAACACATGGAATGGAAACCATGCAGGTGTTTGCTTTGGGTTGAAATGGAAGTAGTCCAGAAAAAATCATCTCAGATGTGAAGTACTATAAATTTGCCTGTGATTTGATTTGTAAACACTGAGTAAACTGACAGAATTCCTTAGAACTAGGGAATTGGGAAACTTGGAGCACATTTTCTGTGTTGTCATCTCATTTCACTCCTTAGCATATTAAACTCCAGTCTACCAGCCATTCAGGTACTTAATTATTAAATGAATATTTCAAATGTGCCATGCTACTTCCAGCCTGCGGGCTTGTCTTTTGCATGACTCCATCACTGAAGGAAAGGAACCAAAGCATTTCTCCCACTTTACTTCTGCAAAGATTTCTGTTTTCAGCTGAGTAGACTAAGCCATTCAGATGCATTTCGCTACCTGGTAGGGAATGAGGAACACCACCCTGACTCTTGAAGTACTCTATGCCCCAAGATGCCACCAATTTGATTCTGCCCAGTCATTTTACATGATTTTAGGGACATATATAACAAAGTTTGCAACCTAGACACAGATATGATGACCTAGTCTAGGCAGAAATGGCAGCTAATCAACCCCAGATCAGAGCCACAGTGAAATTAGCTCTCATTTCCAGGGTTAAGTCACTGATGATTTTTCTTGTCATCCTTTCTAAAACTCAGATAGCTTTGCTTCTGTTGATGGGCCCCTCAAGCCCTTTGTCCAGTGAGACTAGCAGACCTGTCCTTCCAACAAGGAATTAGTCCTTGATGACTCAGCCGTGGTCTCATAAACAAGCATGTATCATACATCATCCTCAACTAAGTGAGAACAGATAATTTTTAAAGAAGTAAAAGCTAGTGGGGCTCAGAAAAATTGCAGTTCACTGGGTCAAGGAAAAGTGCCTCAGATTTGGTTCTTCTTCCCTTATTACACAGTTGGTCCGTGGATCCTGGCAGCCAATGAAATTGTCCCATCCTTTGTCCTTACCAAAGAAAAAATAAAAATCATGATGAGAAAGAGATAGAGCCATTTCCCTCATTTTACCTACAGAGAAATTGAGTCTTAGAGAGAAGAAATAGTAGAACTAGATCACAAAACTAGTCAATGGCAGAGCCAAAGAAAGAACTCTGAACTGTATTCTTATATTTAACAAATTTAATACAGCTCTCTGGAGATCCTTCCATGAAATTGACTGGATTTTAAAACCAAATTTACAAATATCATAACCTTGTACTTCCATCCACTATTTAGAGTTATATGTTTCAGATTATGTATCATTGCCTTATCTTGTTTCTTATTTACTTGCTTGTTTTGAGATAGCCTCACTATATAGCTGAGTGTGACCTTGAACTTTCAATTCTCCTTCCTCAACTTTCTTAATACTTGGATCACAGACATGCTTCCTAATACCCAGATGTTATTACGGTATATCTGTGACTTATCTTCCCAATTATCACCTCCCTTCAAAACTCACACAGGAGTCAGAGACATGACTCAGGAAGTAAAGGCACTTGCTACCAAGCTTGCTGTGCTTGGTTCAAGCCCCATGACCCACATAGTAAAAGTATAGGACAGACACCAGAGTGTTGTCCTCTGATCTCCACAATCATGCAGTGGTACACAAGCCTTACACCCCACAAAATAAATAAATAATTATAAAATACATAGACACACACACATACAAACACACACTTGCACAATCCTATTAGGCTAGATATGAAAGCACAGCATATATGCACAGTTATCATATTCAGGCAGAGTTTGAGGCTGAAATGGCATTACTGGGTTCGAAGTCCAATCCTCTGTAAAATAAGAGAACAACAACTCTTCATGGGATAAATTGAAGATGATTTGGGTAAAATAAATTATATATATATATATTAATCTGACCAAAAAAGGAATCATTTTGTATTGGAAAAGAAATGTATTGCCTCATAGATACATTTTACAAGATGAACACAACAGCAAGAATTAATACTGACACAGTATTTAATTATTAGTCACTTTAAATGAAGAAACTCATTTAAATTCTCACAACATCCCCACAAAATATGTACACTATCATTCTTAAAGTATAGATGAAGCTATAGCTGAAGCTCAAAGGCATGAAGCAATACACCCATTTCATATAGTTTAATGATTTAGGTATCTACTATACCTACCAGTATTTTACTGGTTAAAAATATATAGTGACTCCTGCTTCATTCCAACCCATAGTAGTACCTACCTTCTCAGTTGACTCACCTGTAAAATATGACAAATTTTGTGTGTGTGTGTTTGTATCTGTGTGTCTGTGTGTCTGTGTCTGTGTCTTTGTGTATTTAAATTCCAATATAATTACTAAACAATTGATTCTGTAAAGAATTTTTTGACTGACATAGATAATCTAGGCAGCCTGATTTCAAAGACACAGAGACAGATATGACAGTCTGTGAGTGTCAGTCTTTGGATCTTAAAGGCATCCAGCTTCTGATAGAACTGAGGTTGCCCAACATGCATTGATTTTTCAAAAGGATCAGACTCTTGTGGCATCAAAATTTTTACATAATATAGATAGCTAATTTCTAAAATTTCTACAACCACTCTAAGTAAACAATGTATTATGAATTGTTCATTGTCTTTGTATTAATTTTCTGATTCTGCTTTAGCAAATAGTCATACTTTTATTAATCAAGTACTAATTACTAATTTGATTCAATGCAGATTTATTATTGTTATAGTTCAGTAAATCAGAAGTCTGCTAAGGACTCACTGGGCTAAAATCAAGTGA